TAATTCATGCCAATGACATTTTAGCCCCCTGATAGGTCGGTTCGCTAAGCACGTGCCTCCTAACCTGCTCCATAATCTGGTTCTTTTCTTACAAGAGCAAGTGCGTGCATGCGTGTGTGCGTGTCTCTGTGTGTGTGTTTGCATGAGCATCTTCCTGCTTTCTCCCCCAGCAGTAAGCCTTGCTGCTGTGATCAACATGTTTCTACAAGCCCAGAAAATTACATTCGTTACATTCCTGGTTCCATTTTAGAAACGGCTCTGAAAATCTCGAAACCTCTTTTGTTTTGTTTCCCTTTACAGCAGCACGTGCGGTGGGGAGGACAGTGGAGGAGACAGGGAAAGGTGGCAGCAGATGGTACAGATCACATAGGAGACTGAGTAGATGGATGACTTTGACGTGTCTTTTCTTTGGAACGGATGTGTTGCCAGGTTGCAACAGCTCAGGAAGATGAGATGAGTACTTGCCGCGAATCTTATCTTTGCTGTCAGAGATTTACTGAACAGGAGTAGTGTTTGGCTCTTTCTTTTATCTGTTGGCCGGTAACCAAACAAAAATGCTCCATATGCTGGAAGGGACTACCCTATTTCGTTCAGTGCAAGATTTCACCCACTGTGAGATGCTCCATTATTTTCTGATCTAGTAAGGAAGAAAAATCATTGCCAATTAACTCTGACACATTGCCTATTATAAGACACATCCCAATTTCGGAGATGTTACAACAGGACAAACCGTGTGTGGCTCAGGATGAATGACATATGGTACCAGGGGTGCAGACGGTTTGCCTAGGCCACTTCAGGGTTTTTTTATTGTCTGACTTAGCCTGAGAGTTTGGGTCCCTGAATAAAGAATAACAGCTAGGACTTTTTAAACACCAACCTGTGCCTGTCCCATTTACGTTCATCCTCTAGACTGGAGGGGGATGAGTCCCATTTTACAAAGCAGGAAACTGAGGGTGAAGGGGAAGCTGCCAGAAGGGGGGGGATCCAGATTCCAACCCAGCCCAGTCTCCTCTCCACATGGAGAAGCCTTCGGTTCCTCTGAAGAACTGTCACGTTGGAGAAGCAGCGCGACTGGAGAGCGGCTGTGAGAAGGGTACCGAATCTAAATATTTGCGGATCTGTTTTAGAAACAAGTCCCACCCGCCACGCAGTTGTCACACAGGAATAATTGTGAGACGGCGCTCCTCTCTTTAAGCTCGAGTTAAAAGTGTAAGGAGGGGCGAGGGGGTGGCGTTCACCCCGCGGCAGCCATTACTAGTGATATAATGGGGCTGATGCTTCTGGAAGCTACAGAGTTGCAGCGTCATTGTTTACCTCCTGTCAAGTCTTTATTCCCACGGAGAAAGCCCTTGCAGAACTCTGCCTCCATCCACCAGGCTTTTGGCCTTTTCAAGAGGCTGAGAGGTTAAAGCCTTTGAATTCTTAACGCATATGCCTAAAGTATTTCTAGTACATTATTTAAAATATACCTTTCTCCCTCCCTCCCTCCCTCTCTCTCTCTTTTAGCTGTGATTTGAAGAAGTCTTCACCACACAGAATTTTAACTGATGGCAAAAATATAAAGCCTTGAGGTAATGTTTTATCACTGTTTATTACTGTAGCCAAAGAAGAGGCCTTGACAAGTGTTAGCTGCTGCTGGGTTGCCATGGCACTAATCAGTCAAGCAGGGATGGGATTTTTAAAGCCTGCTTAACCCTTTTTCTTACCCATGAGTGCAACCCTGAATGAAAGACTTGCATTTTGTGCAGTACTCTTGAGTGAAGCAAATCTGCCCCTTTGTAAGGAAGCCTCAGCCTAGCTGTCTGGGTTGTCGTGGCCCCTCTGCCCCTGGCCCCAGCCACATGCTCTGCTCCAGCCTCATGGGCCACCATCCCTCGGGCCTCTGAGCACAGACATGCATGGCTTCCTCTGCCCGGAACACCCTTTTGCACCTGTCCTGGCACCAACTCCCATTCACGTTCTATTCTGTGAAGGTAGCACCTCCTCCAGGTAGCCTTCCCCATCCCCTCCTCCGCGCGCTCTGGGTTAGAAACGCGTCCTAGGTGCTCCAAGAACACTCTGTATTTACCTCCATCTTGGCACACATCACCGTGAGTATCATTGTTTAAGACAGTCTTGGTGAAAGGTGTCTAGAGCGGGCGTGGCTGTGTTCAAAGCTCTCCTTCGCTACTTACAGCTTGTGACCTTGGCCAAGTCACTTGACCTCTCTAAGCCTCAGCCTCCCTCTATGTGAAGGGAGAATAATATTAAGGTTTACTTCACAGAATAATTGTGGGGGTTACATGAGGTAATCTAAACAAAATGCCTAGCACAAGGGAAATTTCAATAATCAGTAGAGTAAAAATTTGTCTCCTCCATGTAAGCTCCATGAGGGTAGGGACTATGTCTTTTATTTTTTGATTATTCAGGACCTAACATAGTGCACATTTCCTAAAAGTCTAACACACGATGGCCAAGGCATGGGTTTCTCTACATAAATGAATTTTTCAGATAGCTACAGTTTACCCCTGAACACACACAAAGAAAATCCTTTCTTGTTTCTGCTTATTAAATTAATTCGCATATATTGGTGAAAATTGTGAAAACACAGCATGGCAAGAAACAAAATGAAAACCATCTGTGATCCTACCATTCACTGTTAATATGTTAGTGTACATCCTTTCACACACGCATGCATTCTTTTTAATGCACATGTATACATTTATATTACACTGACATATTCTAATTTAATTTTCAAAACATTTGCTGACTATTTCTTTATTGACGAACAATGTTTCATAGAGTCAGTACTGCAGTGAACATCCTTGCGTCATATGTCTTCGCAAACATACGGCATTGCTCTTAAAATGTTTTTCTTGAACTGGTTGTGCCTTCCCGCAGTTTATAAGCATATCCATATCACTCTGCCCTTATCAGCACTGGCTTTATCTTAAAAAAAATCTTTGCCAATTTGATAGACAAAAAATAATATCTCATTTTCCCCCTCCTTCTGTAAATTGATCACACAGACCCTCACTTAGACCTTCTGATGACTCAGTGTGGTCATTTTGAGCATCAAGTACTCATCCCTCTGAATCTCCTTGCAATTCCCAGGGGCTAATGAGGTGTGTGAAGCTCTTTGTCCCTACACTGAATGGCCCCAGATGGTTGGGCTTTTCTTCTTTGATTTTAGTTTCTTCCTACACTGTAACCACCATATGTGACTTCTGGCTGCTTCCAACAGAACATTGACTCTTCTAATTCTCTATTTTTGATTCATTGTGTTTAACAAGCATTCACTGGATGCCTACAGGGTATGAGGTTTTTGGAAAGACTTTGAAGGAGAAAGGAATACAAATAGTAACCAAATATATGAAGGACCTACCCTGAAAGAGGAAATAGAGTCAAAAATCATTATACAATGGAGTCAACTGGAGATAGACTGAGTCCTTAAAATTAGGACTGCGGACAAAGAAGAAGATTCCAAAGTGGGGTCCCGTATTTCTTAAAGCATGCTTTCAAATTCTACCCCAGGAAACTAGCACTGAGTAAAACCCTTTTAACCTTTGGCATAGAAACTAGATAAAATTATTTAAATCCTGTGTGAAATGAGATTAAGTAAACTTAATTTGGGGCTCTGGGTGCCTCTTCTGCCATAACAGCTCTAAACCTTCTGGCTCTGATTACAGGAGTTTCAGCGGCTCTTCAGAGAACATTCTTGCTTCTTTCTTTGGTCTCAGCTGTTTCTTAGGGAAGAGATTTGGTGCCAGGATATTCCAGTTAAATGCTTCTGGGTAATAGTGAGAAATAGTGAAAAAGGATGATGTTAATAATGTGGCTTCTTTGTAACTGAACAATCTGAGATTCTTTCCTTTTATCCTCTCTTTGAAAAAGATGCTAATACAGGAGTGATACAACCGGTTGAAATGTAAATATTACTCAGTATCTAAGATATTTTATTTACATGTGGCCAAAATACACATTTTGAAAACTTCACCTAACATATCTTTCCTGATGTGTACTAAATATTGGACTATCGGTTTGCAAATTCCTAACTAGAATTGTTTTGTTCAGTTTTCACCCAGATCTACTGGCATCACCTAAGCCCAAATGTGATCTGTAATAAGATGACTTTTCTTTTTTTTTTCCTGTTGGACCTTCAGCATACAGCATAGAACCAACCTCACCAGGGGAATATCTGACTTAGTGAAACATTTACTCCATTTCCCTATAGCATATTATCCCATATAATGCTTCTTGTGATTGCAAAGATAAAACAATTTTACAACCAATAATGAACGAATGATGGGCAATTTCTTCTAGAATTCCTTTTCATCTTTGTCAGCTTTATGAAGGTTTTCACATTTTCACATATATATTTCCAAAGAGTGTATGTGTATTGGGAAAATGTCCTGATAACTAATCTGACACATCTTCTTTTAACAACTCCAGAGAGAACATAGATCATTTATTGCTAGTTTTTTCAATAATTTTTCTACAATGAAAGGATTTATGAGGTTAAAAATTTCCATCCTGTATGTACTTGTTCGAGTGCCTATTTATAAGCTTATATGACTAACTCTTTGATTTTCTAGCACCACTTAAAGTTGGTGGGCAAAGCTGACTTATTTGAGTTATGCCCCCATAAAACCTTGCTTCTTAAAAAAAAAAAAAAAAGTTCCAGATAGCTGATTCAGGGCTATCCTTTATATATAGATTATGCTGTTACCTAGCAATGCCTTCAGGGACTACTGAGGCATAATATTTGATTGGTCCTCTACTCAGTTAAAAAGTTCAATGTGTAATATTAATTTGACTTTTTATTAGTAAACAAAATTATAAATTCAGTGACAAAGAGAAATCCTATGGTAACAGTGTAGCACAATGTCTTTAGGTTACATCCAAAAACTGTCCTTTACTGTCATCATAAACAATTTCTTCTAGCCTCCCCACCACACACACACACACACACACACACACACACACACACACACACACACAGAGATCTTAACCAACACTAGCAAGGCTTCTAACCAGTCAAAGCCACATCTGTGGGACAGCCCAGCCCCATTAAGTTCCTACCTGGGAAAACCTAAAGTTGACAAAATAATTTACTGTTTGTTCCAGCCAACACCTGAAGACAGGACCTCTATTCCCCAGCGTCTGTGGGACAGCAGAAGCCCAGCTTCCGAAACAGCCAATTAACAAACCCCCATGGCCTAAGCATGTTGACCTACCCACCCCCCCAACCTGCTTTTTGTAATTTTCCACCTCTCTGACTCCCACTCAGTCTCCACACCTCTACACAGGTCAGCGTTGAGCTCAGTTCTACATTCAAGCTTTTTCTCTACTGCAGTAGTTGCTCAAGAAAGTCTGATTTTACTGGCTTTACCTAGCGTCCAGCTTTTTAAAACAAAAACAAAAACACATCCCACTGAAAACTCAAACTAAACCAATTAAAATATGGACATGTAGAGACTTTCAGGTCACCTCAAAAACATGTCAATAGCAGTAGTCTATGAATTAACCATAGTAAAATGGCAACTGGCCAGAGTTATGAAAACAGGTGATTTACAATCCATTCGAAGAAGAGGATTTAAAATAACGTTCTGCTCATCTCAATCATTCCTCCCATAAAATGAAAGAATCCAAGAGGGAGGTCTTTTGACAAACAAGTAACTACTCAAGATGAACTACAGTCAAGCTTCAGAACATCACCCTTATCCAAACGGTTCATTTTTCTGTTGGTGATGAGTTTTATTGCTGGTGGGCATTCCAGGAGTGTTCGTGCTGGATTTCCTCACTCGCCAACCGGGGACATGAGGTGGAACTCCAGTGGACATTGTAGCTGGTTTCTAACGGTCACTCCTCAGATGATTCATCAAAGCCAACCATGCCACTTACCTGTGATTGGGCTGAGATGTCAGGTGGGATTTGCTGGAGTTGTCTGGGGAAAGAGCAAGTTGTCTCTGCATCCTGAACATGGACAAGGATGAAGTTAGTGCCATAAATAGAGGGCAGAAATAGAAGGAAGCTGGATTCCAGATAATATTGTTGAGCCCCTGAATCAACCGCCCCTCCAGCCTGCATCGACTAAGAGTAATATAAGAGAAGGCACTTATTGTTTATGACATTTGGGGTTTGTATTCTGTTACTGGCAACCAGAGGCATCTTAATCGAGACAGGAATCTGCATAGTGTTTTATAAGGTTCTCTCTCCACCAGCAGTAGCAGAGCCCACAAGAGGGAGGCAGCGCTCTCCAAGGAAGAGAGAGGGGCCTTCCAGCTCAAGGGAGCCCCCCAGGGGCAAAACTGTCGGTTTGATCTGAGCAGGGGAAGGTAGGTCTCCTAAAACTCAGCCTGACCAGTTCCCAGGGGACACAGAATGTTTGATAAGGGAAAGTGGTTAGGGAGGGGGCAAGGAGAAATCATTTTGAAATCAGCAAGTCTGTGAAAGCAGCTAAATGTGTATGTGTGTTGGGGTTGGGGGATGAGGCAGGGACGGGTGAGCTAGAGGGGAAGATGAACATTAAAGAGAGGAAAGATGATGAAAACAATGATGTGAGAGGATACTGAAGGTTTCTTTTCCTTTTTTCTGAAAAAGTATGTTACATTTGGATCACCTGGTTTATTTGTTTATTTTTAAAGATTAGCTAGAACTTCATTCTGAATCCATCTGGTCCTGGTGACTTTTTCAAATAATAAGTCTTTTTTTTTTTAAGATTTTATTTATTTATTTGAGAGAGAGAGAATGAGAGACAGAGAGCACAAGAGGGAAGAGGGTCAGAGGGAGAAGCAGACTCCCCGCTGAGCAGGGAGCCCGATGTGGGACTCGATCCCGGGACTCCAGGATCATGACCTGAGCCGAAGGCAGTCGCTTAACCAACTGAGCCACCCAGGTGCCCGTCAAATCGTAAGTCTTTTAAACAGAGCACCGGAAGCTATCTCCATCCTGATGGTGTCCTTGGCTGCAAACGCCACTGGCCTTTTCAGCACCGGGATGGAACAGACTCAGCTCATTTATTCAGCTCTCCTAAAAACCCAAGGAGACCAGTAGGCATCCTAAGAGCACCTACCTGTGCTAGTGCCATTTCCCTCCCTTCAAAGGTCCTCTAGGTCATTTGATACTAGTCCTAGGGCTCTTTGCAGCAGGCTCCAGGCTCTGATTCAGTCTAGAGGGCAGAAGTCCTATGCCAGCTGCCAGATTTCTCCATCCAGCCCAGCTCAGACCAAGGCCATGCTCCCATCCTCCAGGTTCAGCTTGCCTGCTAGCTGTAGGACCCACTCATCTCCAGGGGAGAAGCAGTTGGATTGTTGTGGTGGAGGAGGGACAAAGGACATCAACTTCCAAACTCTTCAAATGTTTAGGAGGAGAAAAACTGGAGCTGGAGGAGTCAGAAGGATCCTCTAGAAGATGAACATAATCAGCCTTGAAGAATGTACAAACCTAGGACAGGAGAAGGGAAAGGTATTCCAGGCCAGTAGGGACATCCTACCTTAAGGAAGGTCATATGGTAGTTAGCTTGGATGAAATTTGGGGCTAATATAAAGCTGCTTGGATAAAATTGGATCCTGATCAAGGAAATCTATAAGTGCTAGATTGAGTTTGATCCTGGGTGTGGTAGACAGCAAGGGAAGTCAGGAAGACCTGGGTATAAATCTTGGTCCTTCATTTGCTGACTTTGTGAACTTGGGAAAATTGCTTAAATTCTCTGACCCTCATGGAGATAACAATACCTTCTTCCAGAGCTCTTGCTAAAAGATCATGTCTGTTAAAGCTAAGGAATGACATATCATCAACTCTCTTTCCTCTTCCGGTGGTACTGAGGAAGGAAGACATGGTCTCCTGAGACCCCAGAGGAAACAGAAATGTTGCTGTGGGGAATGAGGTTGAGGAGGTGTCAAGAGGAAATCAGTTTGAAACAGACAAGACTGGGAAGGTACCAAACTGTACTTGTGTGTTCATTGGGGCCGTTTCTGGGGACACAAGTTGTTGAAAGAGCTAGTGGGGAAGATGGGATGATAGAAGAGGAAAAGGAACTAAGAAAGTGAAGTAAGCGATCTTTAAGATTTCCTATGCATGTGTGACTCTGGGTCAGTCACATAGAAGACAGAGCAAATCGCACGGATCGACACATCAGGCACTCAATTGGATGATTTAAATTATGGCAAATCGTAGTAGAAGAAAAAAACCAGCCATCAGAAGAGTTGTAAATAGAGTTCCCCCAAAGCTAATATATAACTTACAGTACCCTTTGGGAAGTTCGGAATTATATATTATTTTTTTAGCTTTGTACACAAACACATACGTTTTTCTTCCCCTTGAACATGGGGTGGGGGAGGGGAGGGACAAAATGTCCATGATTTTAATTGGTATTTCAGCCATCCTGTTAAAGAAGATTCACAGTTACTAATTTTAGGATGCATGTGATTAATCTCTCAGATACTAGAAGAAAAATATAATGCCCAAATAAGAGACACTATTTTTTATCAGTTGTTTACATATTATTCATCTAAAAGGAACGATTTCAGATCTTAGAAAAATGATCATAAGAACCTCACAAATACTTCTCAGGTTTTTCATATGTTTTGAAACACTGAGGAAACCATCTGCAGGAAATGTGGCAGATGCATTAAAGAGTATTCTTATTGAAACAAATTAAAATAAATATATGTGTGAAAGTGTCTAGCATGATGCCCAGCAAACAAGACAAACTCAATTAATGTTAGGGGAATCCAATTAAGTCCTTTAATCCAAATTTAATCCAAAATACTATCAGACAGCCCTTGGCTTTAGAACAGATTTGGGTCCAAAAATGTGGCTGGAGTAAGCCTCAAGGGTAACCATTGCTAATTCAAAGCTCCCAGAGACAGGCTGAGGATTGACCTTCATTCCCTGTTTCAATATTTAATTTAGTGGGTTACAAGGAGAATATTTCTGTTGCACCTTTAAAAAGTCCATGATTACCTAAAGGCATGGTTGTTTTGGAGGCTGCTGGGATTAAGATGGTGTCTCTGGTGACAGGAGAGGTCAGTGATCCACAAAAGCGGGGGTTCTACACACTCCTTCTCTCTGAAGTCTTGGATGGCTATAAGATGTATTAACTAGAGATAATTTTTTGTGTGTGGACGCACTCCCCTCCTTGAGTTCTCATTATATCCCACACACTTGCAGACATTTTCTCATTTGATCCTCATAACAACCCCCTGAGATAGGTATTATTATCATCTTCATTTTGTATATGGGAGAACACGGTCTGGGGGTAAAACCAGTGTTGTGTGGGTAGATCAGCGGAATTTGAAATTAAATTGACCTCAATTTAAATCTTGGCCCATGACTTCGGCATTTCCTACCCATAATGGGCCTCCATTTGCGAATTCTAGCTTTGGTAGAATAATTCTTAGAAGACTAGAATTAGAAGTTGAGGTTATAATTACCTAACAAATATTTTTTAATAACTGTTAACAGCAAGCTGTGGATATCAAATGCCCATCATGCAATGTTTGGGAATAACTGGCTCAAATTTGTTTTATTCATCAGGTTGTTTGGCATTGTGAAGTCCCAGTTTGAATTCACTCTGCACCACAGCATCAAGCCAGAACCTAAATTTTCAGGAGTTAGGATTCCCTAATTGATTTGGTGACTTTCTCTTTGTTTCTTAACAAGTCCCCTCCCCCACCATCCTCCTCCATAATGTAGGTGTTCTGTATTCTACCTGCCTCCACCTGAAGATATAGGAAGGGAAAACTGAATAAACACATACCGTTATATTATATTTACTCTTTCCAAAGCACTGGTTTCCTTCCTGAAGATCCAAGTTCCCATCTGGTAGCATTTCTTAGTGCAGGTCTTCTGGCAATGAATTCCCTTAATTTCCATTTATCTGAAAAATGTTTTTGTTTCACCTTCATTTTTTAAGTACTTTAATGGAGAAACAGTTTGCCTTCAGTTAAATGCCCAAATTGCAATGTTCAGCTTGATGAATTTTTATGTAGGTCTATACTTATGTAACTACCATCCCAAGAAAGATATAAATATTTCTGCCGCCCCAAAACTTCCCCTGCGCCTTCTCGTTGTCAATTCCCTTCCCTATCCCCCAGCCTTGGTAGTCGCTAATCTGTTGTCAGTCCCTGTGGTTTTGCCTTTTCCAAAATACCGTATATATAAATAGACTCATACAATATGTACCCTTTGGAGTCTGGCTTTTTTTGCTTGGCACAATGTATTTGAGATTCATCCAAGTCACTGCCTGTATCAGTGTTCATTTCTTTTCATGTCTGAGTAGTATTCCATTGTATGGATGGACCACAGTTTATCCATTCACCGCTGAGGAAACCTGGATCGTTTTCAGTTTCTGGCAATTTTGGATAGAGCTGCTGTAACATTAGGAAATACATTTTTCTGTGAATATGATTTTCAATGATCCCAGGTAAATGGATGGAGGAATGCTGAGTCATAAAGTAAGTGTATGTTTAATGTTATAAGAAACTGCCAAACTGTTTTTCAAAGTACTGTACCATTTTATATTTCCACCCAAAGTGTAGGAGTTTTGGGTTCTTGGGGCTTGGTGTTACCAGCTTCATTATGTTTTAGCCACGCTCATTATGGTTTTAATTTGCATTTCCTTGATCAATAACAATGTGGAGCATCTTTTCATGTGATCATTTACTGTCTGTATGTCACCTTCGTTGAAGGGTCTTCAAATCTTTTTTCCATGTTTTTCCCCCCGGGTTGTTTGTTTCCTTATTGCTGAGCTTTCAAAGTTTTTTATCTACTCTAGCTACCAGTCTTTGATTCGATATGTGTTCTGCAAACATTTTCTCTCGTTCTGCAGTTAGTCTTTATTTTCTTAACAGTGTCTTTCAAAGAGAAGCTTTCAGTTGTGATAAAGTCTAATTTATTATTGTCTGTTTTATATAGTTTGTGCTTTGCTATATCTAAGAAATCTTTGACTAACCCAAGGTCACATAGAATTTTTCCTGTATTTTATTCTAGAACTTTTACAGTTCTGCATTATACATTTAGGTCTCTGAGACATTTTGAGTTCCTTTTTGCATATGGTTCAAGGTACCATCGATGTGCTCGCTCTTTTTCTTTTTTGCATATGAATGTCCAGCTGTTCCAACACCATTTTTTTACTTCCTGAGTCCACTGGCTTCATTGATTCTCTGTTAATAGTTTATTTCATCTGTAGTATGTCTTTCAAGAGTCTTATTTCATACTCACTTTGGCTAAGAACTGAGTTTTGAGCTTTAGTAACAAAACGCTTGAAGGATTTAGGAAGGAACAATGAGAGGGAGGCAAGGAAACAAAGAGCAACACAAACAGACCGTCTATTGACAATCTTTGGGCTGCCGGCCCTGGTGTGCCTCGCTGAGAGACACGAACCTTACACACAACCCAGGCTCAAAGAGAGGTCTGAGCCTGGGGTCCTGCCTGGAGAAGGCATAGTCAGGTGCCTGCCTCAGGACCGGGACAACCCCCGCTGCATAAGGCTCTCCTAGGACAAAGGGTGTCAAGAGAGAAAAGAAGGCTCTGAATGGGGGCTAGAGGCTACGAAAGAATCTTTTCAGTTCTACCCAGTTCTACCCAGGTTTGAATCATCGTTTTCAGCGTCAAATACCAAGAACCCCCACACCTGAGTAGGTAATCTCTTGTTCTTGCTAAGACTCACATTAGTAAATGTGAACCAGGCACACGGATGTCCATCTGGCAACCTAGTAAAAACCGTGGGCAGGAAGCTTTCCTCTTACTCCTCTCTCTCCTCCTCCCTCTAGGAGGAAGGCAACAGAAAGGAATAATTAGTCAACCACCCAAATAATTATTTGAGCTTCAGTTACCAATAATTGTGTCATCGGACATGGTGGCTGGCTACAAAATGCAGAGATGTGGCGCATCGGAACTATTCTTGAGATTGTCAAGTGGTTGGTGGACACCCTGCCATTATTATGCTCATCCTTGCAGCGGGAGGTCCCTTTGTTCCCTATTGCTTCCTAGTTATCTTCGCATTCTACAAGAGCAGCACATGAGGTGACTCTGTCTCGTGCACTGTCTTTCTCTCACATTGTTGTTGTCTTAAAGTCACGGAAAGTGCTGGTAAGATGAGATATTTGTATATTTCTAATGTCTGGGTCCTGGCCATCAACATTCTTAATCAAATCAAATTCACGCGTTCTGCTACAATTCACCCATATGGTACAAAGGCCCCAGTCAATCAGTTGGTCTAGTTGCTCTAGACAGACCTAGCTTCAGGTTGAACTGACACCACACCAACCAGTTGGCAGTTGGAAAACAGAGAGGTTTAGTGACCATTACGTATAGAAGAAACTGAGATGACTACTAAAGCAATTCAGTAAGTAGCTGAATTTTCTGTGCTTTCATAAGACTTGACTCCTAGGGTATCCCACGTGGCCCTATTCATGCCCATTTCCCGCATGTGTCACCAGCCCCCTGCGGACTATGTCTAGTTTATCCACACATCATAAATACCTCCCGATCACCCTTGCATCTAGAAGAGTGACTAATTCAATATGTGTTCAATAAATATTTGTTGACTTTGGTTGAAAATTGTTGAATGTGCCGAAGACATAGAAGGCAGTTTATCTTATCTGCGGGTATCACAGATCATGATCAGTTTGGCACTGTTGGTGCCGATGACATAATCAACTGGCTAGAATTCAACCTGATCTCAGCAATTTGGAATGTTAGGCCGCTGAAACCAGAAATTAATAGGAATACGGGCAAAGACCTGTGTAAAATGTATTTGTAACTGGGCTTTCCTAAGTCTAGGACGGATATCTGGTTTGACAGCTTCTGTCTAGGTGAAAAAGATCTAGCAGTTTTCAATGCCACACACTCAAATGCAGGTATGATGTGGCACTTTGCAATGCGAAGGCAATTTAAATGACAAGTACCCAAAGCCTGAGGTGCAGTTCAGGGAAGTAGCACACTCATTGCACGCTGCTAGCCAAGCCACAGGTGGGATGACGCATGAGTTTCCAGCACTACATTCTAAGGGGAGAATAGGCAATTAGAGCATGTTCTGCAAGGTGGGAAAAGATGAGGCTTAACCCATGGTATGTACATGGCTCTGAATAATTTGTGAGTCACTGAGTTCAGGGAGTGAGAGGGGCCCTGTAATTTACAATGTAGCTAGGAAAATGTTTTCTTTCTGGGCTCGGACGGAACTGTCTCTGTGAGCTGATGTTTGCCCTTGGGAGACATGTGGGCATAATCTAGTAGAGCTCTGTTAAGAGCAGGGAATATCGGGAAGTCAAAGAACAAAGTGCACCGAACATCCTGCTTCTGGTACTTCATCTACCCGGTGCCTTCTAATTGCAGGCTTCAGCCCGGATGTTCTCGTGCACAGATGCTGTGGATCCTCCTTGTGCCTCAGCTTTGGGCTCAAACTGCCTGTTCCCCCTGCAACACGAGCAGCCTGGACTGATTCTGCTGGGACTGGCTCCTGACGTGGGGAACCCTTAGAAAATATGGGTTCAGGGACAGGAGCAGCCCTCTCAGGCTTACCTTGGCACACCCTTCTGCTTTGGATGCTCCTTGTGCCCTCTCATCTCTTGAAACCCCACTCTCCCCGGAGCTCGTGTGTGACCCTTGTGTAGTACCATCTTTCTGCCCTCTTCACCCTCTTGCACTGATTCTTAACTCCCTCAGACTTCCACTTCCTCTACGTTCTGGAAGGTTGTTCATCGGCATCCTCTACCCACTGGTCTTGCCATACATCAGACCCGGTTGCTCTCAGCTCCTTCTCTTTTCCAGCATTTACTTTTTCAGAGCCTGCACTAATTTGTATGAATGTTAACAATTTTGTAAGGAGATAGAAAAATAATTTATAGGGGCACCGGGGTGGCTCCGTCAGTTAAGCATCTGCCTTCGGCTCAGGTCATCATCCCAGGGTCCTGTGATCGAGCCCCACAGGGGGCTCCCTGCTCGGCGGGGAGTCTGCTTCTCCCTCTTCCTCTGCCCCTCACCCCCAACCGTGTTCTCTCTCGCTTGCCTGCTCTCCCTCTCTCTCTCAAATAAATAAATCTTTAAAAAAAAAAAAAGAAAAAGAATTGATATATACTTTGCACACCTGAGATTTAATCCTTTTTTTTTTTTTTTAAGTGGCTTCCTATCCTGCCTGTCTCATAGCGTATCGGTTAGGTGCATAATCCCTGGGGTCAGACATGTGCAGGTTCAAATCCTGGGCCTGCCACTAACTTGTCATTAACTTGGGCAAGTTACTCAGTGTTGCTGAGCATTAGTTTCCTCATCTGTAAAATGGGAATTACAGCTACCTAATGCATAGATTAAATGAGATACTATAGGTAAAGTTCTGGCAGAGTATCTGGTACCTAGTAAGCCTAAAGACACTTATTGTTACTTATAACACTTCTAACTATGTGCATTTTTATACTTTATATATAAAACTAGGTAATCTTATATAACTAGATACTATAATACTTAAAATTATTTCACAATATCCCTTGAACATCCCTGCTCAAATTTCTCCTGTATCTTCATGTTTAGTAGAGGGTATTGAGTCACAAATTATGGAAAAATTTAATTGCTAGTTGAGTAGAATATTTACAGTTACCTTATGGTACTAGCTTTATCTCAGAGAACTGATCTTAGAAATTTAATTTTCCTCTTCTTTCTTTCTTTTTTTTTTTTTTTTTTTAATTTTTTTAACATTCCATTATCCTCAAAGCACAGTGGCCAAGTGCCCATAGTATCTGGGCAACAAAACCAAGTCCAATGTAAAAGTATTTATTCATTCTGGAGCTTTCATATTATTTGAGTTAGTAAATCAATATTAACTTGCACAGTATCCTCATATCCATGAATTAAATTAGTTCAAGGCTTTTTTCCAAAGGAGCCAAACCTCATAATTAATTTTATTTGGTCGTTATCCAGAATATCATAATAATTTTTAAATGTCAGGTCAGACATTTCTAATACATAGAAATCCCATTTGGGAGTTCGGACGCCTATCTGTTTGCTCCTTTTAATATTGGTGTGTCCTGGCCGATGATTTTTTAAATAATATTATCGCTCAGTACTTTTTCTTCTTCAAAAGCATCTGGGTTTCAAACTAGCTAAAATCAGGAAAACTTAAGGAAACGAAGTCAAAGCCGTTCACATTGGGATAGCAAGAAATAGCAAGTTGATGCTGAGTAGAGAAGGAAATGGAGGAGCGAAGACAAGTAAGAGAGCATCCCCTGGGCGCAGGCTCAGCGCTCCCAGATGGAGCATCCGCCATGAACTCAGAGAAGCCTCCGAGCAGGGGCAAGAGGTTTAGACTCCATGTTCCTCATGGCTCTGGGGGAGAGGAAAAGGGCTGCTACCAGGTATAAGACACCCAGCGAAAACAAATGTTCATCTGGGAGCATGTGAGGAAACTCTGTGTCCCTAAGAAAAATTTCCACAGAAACCCTTTATATTCAACAGAGGGATGACTGGGCCCTGGGCACTGGCGGTGCCCACCTAAATGATGCTCTGAAGGAAATTATGTTGTGCGCAGAGCCCAAGGGTGTTAGATTTTGTTTCATCACTGCAGAAACAGGAGGAAAAGATCTCCTCCTGTAGGAGAGCCTGTGGCCATCTGACTGCTCAGGGGCACACTTGCTCTGTCTCCTCACTGCATTCCCATCACCCTCACATTAAATTGTCCTGCGCATGTGGAGCTTCTGCTCTGTGACGGAATCTGGCTGGAGCAGGAGTGGTGCCAAAGGTGAGGGCACAGATGAGGACTGTGGCATCTTTACCCCAAATGATGCTTCTTAGCCCAGCCTCAGGGGGCAGGGGGTGGCAACTGGAAATTTAGGGAATGTTTCCAAAAGAACGTTTGAGACTCTGGCCAAGGAATGAGTGCCAGATCCTGACAGAATTGTTTCCATGAGAGAACTGGTAAGATAAAGGACAAAAGCTGAAGGAATACAAAGGACCCTGAATGTAGTCAGGTCTGCTTAAGGACCCATGTGAGCCAGTGTAGCAGGGAAAAAGAGAAATGGCCTTTCTCCCCTCCTCTGCACTAAACCCGGCACCACACTCACAGCCCGGAACATGGTACCTTTGGCATGAATACTGACATCCTTACCTCAGACAGTGGAGGCTGGCCACTGTGGTAGGTTAGTCAAATGGCAGCCAGCAGAAAGACATGGGGGACGCCATGTGGTAACTAACTGTCTGACAGGTCTGTGAGCAAAGGTGAAGCACCTCTTTGGGGAGTCCCCAAAATAAATAGGAACGAGTTGGTAGGGGGTCGGGGGAGATACTAAGTTACTCTTTGAGAAAATGGAGTGGTGCCACAGGAAATTTCATGGCTGGTGAGGCCAGATAACGCTGGGTTTACACGTCCAAATATTAGAAAGGCAACAGTCAAACATCCCATTATAGTTCTTGCCATCATCTCAAAAAATAAAGAGAAGAAGAAAAAAAAAATAGAAAGGAAGGAAGGCACCTCAAATCTACCAGTGTCATGAATTTGGTGTAAGATTGACTCTCTTCCTGCTGAATGATATAAAAATGCATTCTATTTTTCACAAAATGTTTGCAAAAGCCCGCAAAGAAATTGCCTATCATTTTTAATTTTGAAAAGTAAAGAAGGACTAATGATACAAATTTGTATCTAGGTGATACAAATCACAAATGGCAGCACTGCCATAATCTGCTTTATGAAGGGCCCACTCACCTACCATAGAGGCACAACCACAATTTAGACTCTAACAACTAATCTCCATCTCCCACTCTCTGCTTCTGATCTTCTACATCTCTGAAAGGCTCGTGCAGGACCTTCTGTGCCAATGTTACTTAGTCTCAATTAAGAGCAAGAAAATTAATATGGAGTTTAAATTGGGGTGACCTCTTCTCAAAGATGAAATAAGGGACTATCAAAGTTCATCAGAACATCTGGCAATGCTCGCTGAGGGAGAAATGTCCATAAGGTTTAATTATCAAAGGCAAGGTTTGTACTGATTACAATAATTCATAACCTCAGAGTCAGCACTTTTATTCTTAAACTTAAAGCCTCAGTTAATTGAAATTGGTGGCCCATTCTGCTGCACAAATATTTCTGGTTCATCATCCCTTTTTAAAAAAAAAAGTCAGTACTTTGTCAGCATCTTTCTAAATACTTTATGAGTCAACTGTTCTGCTTTAAGAGGCCCAGGTCCTTTCCACATAACTGAAATTGTGTTGATGATTACAAACCTTACAATGCCTCTGCTCCTGCTCCGTAATTCTGAACTCACACTTCTCATTTTTCCAGTACCATTCATTCATCAGTCAATTTGACAAATATTTACTGAATGCCTACGATGTGCCAAGTACTCTTCTAGAGGCTAAGGGTATAACAGAGAACAAAACAGACAAAAATCACCTCCATGGAGATTAACTTCTAGTTACAATGTTCAGTGGATAAGGAATAAGAGGCTGGGCTGATTTAAGTTATACCAGGGCATACCCTGGTACTTGATTTTTGATTAATCACGGAAGTCAACTAGCCTGATGTTATATGAGGCTTTTCCCTGAAATATATACTTCTAATCTATTTAAATATAGTTTCAGGGAGTTGGGCCCTGGCTAGTGAAGGTATCCTCCATTGTATTTCTCTTAATTATGGACAATGAGAGAGAAAAACCCTGGATAGTAGAAAGAACGCTGAATCTCTGACTCCTTTTAAATCTATAACTATTTTTACTCCCTCAGTCTACGCTATCTCCTTTACTGGAAAAAGAAATTTTTTTTAAGTAAAACAACTCCATTTTTTTCAGTGCTGAACAGAGGACAGAACATCATTATCAACCATCACAACCCTTCTGCAATCTTAGTCCTGTCAAGGAACATCCTGTAATTTCCCCTCCACCTCCAAAATCAGAACTGAATCCAAGACCAGTGCAGAACTGGGGGCTAATAATAGTCCACTCCCACTGATAACAGAAAGGCTGAGGTCTTCACAAACCTTTTCAAAGAACAGTTTGATGTAACTTTAAAGTCACAAATGGCTCTGTGTCTCTAAGCCAACATTTTGCAGAGGGCTGAGCTCAGTTAGAAATCTGAAAACTGAAAAGAACCAGTGAAGCCAGAAGCTAGTTCATAAAAGAGCAGCTGAAATGGCCGAAAGCTTGGGAGGCCTCCTGGTGAGGAGATGCTAGAACCGAACATATTGCTCTGAGTCGGCCAGGTAACAGAGAGCACCGAGAGGAATTCGAAGGCGCTTGGCAGTGAGGCACTGCAAGCGATAGACCAAAATGCTGAGAAAGCTAAACTCATAATGATACTACGTTGAGTGCTTGACATGTATTATCTTTTTGAATCCGTCCGATAACTCAGGAGGCAGAGATTGTTGCTATTATTCCCATTGCATGGTTGAGGAGAACTGAGACTTTCCCAACTTGCCCAAGGCCACACAGCTAACATAGAAGAACTAGGATGTGAACCCAAGTTGGCCCCAAAGCCCCCAGACCCTTGTGGCTACACCACATAGCCTTAAGAGCAGAAATAGCCAGCTGTCCGTAAGGTAAAAATAAATGAGGACATATAAACAAACAAGAATTCAATTATCATCACCCCAAAGACTGTAAATGGAACAGAATGTCTTATTGAGATGGCTGGGGTTCAGGTCTGCCAGAAAGCTAAAAGCTATATTAAAACGGCTTTGGGGGGGTGGTCCCCTTTTTTCTGGTAATGATTGAAAGATGGTTTTTACTCATTATACCACTTGGAAAACATAGATGGCATAAGGAAAATTAATATTTTGATTAAATAACATATCTGATATCCTGGGAATGTTAAATACCCAATTAGAGAGTGAACTTTTGTCAATCAGGGAAAACTGAAGTACCTACAATTCAGAGACTCTAACATTATAATGTCAGGTCAGTGTTCATGTCTTAGTGATTCTGTATGGCCAAAGAGGTGGGCAGAATGCACATAGAAAATTTCTGAACTACCTCTGCTCTGTCTGAGGGTGGAATTCCTAAATGTATTTTGCCTTCATGTCTTAGAGAAAAGAGCCTTAAAGAAATTGGTATAAATCTTTCAAGGAATCTAAGATGACAATGTGCTTATATTTCCTGTGATAAAGTTAATTTGTATGTTGGGGACCCACAAAATGAAGGTCACAATAGTGGCCCAGCCCATGTCACAGATCTAAACCTAAATCGGCCTGCACTTATGGGAAACACCTGTCAGGGTAACTGAACGCACACCAATTACAGTCCTCCAATCTAGCTTTTGATAGCTTACCTTACCCTAGAAAATAGGACCTGCTAGCTTTCCAGAGAAATCCCCAACCTCCTGGGCACTTGTAAGAGGTAGGTGTATGCCAGTAAACAACTGAGGGGGAGGGGGCTTGATTCATTATTTGCAGGTTTCCATGATGTAAATACTCCCGCCATGTTGGATTGCAAGCTACCAAGGTGACATCAAGCCACCTCCTAGAAATGTAACCATCTGCTCCCACAAGCCAGTACCAAGGCTCCAGCACATCATTGATTCTAGGCCTTTAAGGCAAGTTCAGCCAACACTCTTCTTGTCATAGACTTTAGGATTTCACAAGCAAAAATAAAAATTTTTGAAAATTAGAGGAAGAACACCTAAAATCTCTTCCTCTCCTTCTTTCTCCTTCTCTCCCTCCTTCCTTTCTTTGCTGAGTGCTAAAAAAAAAAAAAAAAAAAAAAAAAAAAAAAAAAAATCTAAAATCACCAATTTTTAAAAAAAAAAAGGATTTTTTTATAAAAAAAAGTGAAAAAAAAAAAATTTTAAAAAAAAAAATAACCC